GCTATTGTAAACGACCAGAGGATCGACGAGACGTTTTGTACAGTATTTTCTGTTGAATTACCTGTTAATGAGAAATAAAGATTACAATTAAATTGAATTTGTCGTGAAATTAATGTCAAATAATCTGCTTTTTATCAAGCAATCCGATTAATGCATTTTAATGATAATTAAATAAGTTTTAATAGTATTATATTAGCAAATCTTAGCGCTAATTAACGGATATTATGAATCAAATATATGTATAATTTATTTTATTCAATCAAAAGGATTTATAAAATGCTGAAAACCAACTCAAATATCCACTCTCTATGTATATTATAATTCATTGCTATAAATATAAGGCAAAAATAATTTATTACAAATATATTTTCATATATTTGTACAGCACTTACAGTGCATGTGATTAATAATGAGAATAAAAATGCAAAAATAGCCCAATATTTCATATTATATATTTTGGTCTTTTCTCTTTCACACAGTATAACACATTTACTGATTATATTATTTTGATTTATACTTCATTATTATAATGAAATTGAATGTCGAGTTTGTTTTTATAGAAAAATATATCCTTTAAAATAATATTTTAAAATGTTAAATATAACTTATATTTTTAACTAAAATAAAAATCATTATCATAAATGTTGAATCACTGAATGTCAAACACTATTTTAAATGATACTAAATTTAATGATATTACCATTTAATATAATTATGTATAAATTTTGGCCATAATGTCATTAAATTGATTCAATTAATCGCAAATCTGATTTGTTAGTCAATTTCTAATATATTGTTTTTCATTGTGTAATTATATCACTCGAGATATTCATTATTTTGTATTTAAATATCCATTTATATGAATGATTATCGTATAAAACAGATAAAAATAACAAAATAATGAATTATTATTGTTGAGTATTATAATCAAAAATACACATATTATCTATAAATACATATGGGATCCAAATAAAAATTAAAATACACTAAAGTATACATGTATATACTGTACATTATATATAATATAATATTGTTAATAAAAAACAACGAATAAAAAAATGATCACCGGGAAAATACTAACTACAATAAGGCATCTTAAGCTTCAATGTGGAGTATTTGAAGAGATCGTCGACGGGAGTGGACATGAGGTGCATTGGGTCGGGAATCCACGTCCCGTTACGACAGATCAGTATCGATGGACCCATTAGTTGATAGCCGTCATCGCAGGTATAGTTCACTCGCGAGTTCTCCCTCGGCGTCCGCCAACACGTCTGGTCACCAGTTATTACATAAGTGCCTATAAATACACATAAGACACACATTACTACCCAAACATAACATGTATAGCGTATACAATATCGCTATAGTTTACACCAGTAGGTGATGGAAATGGGCCGACAGTAATGAATGGATGGGTTGACAAACAAAAACACTAAATTGTTTTCTTTTGGGTAATTAAAAGACATCTTAAGAGTGTTTTCACGTTAACTGCATATAAAAGAAGACTTACTTCGAAACTATATTCGTGTATAATTAGCAAATAATTAGCAATAATTCTTATTAATACCAAACGAATGGCAAATTTAATAGTAATGTATTATTATTATCCGGATTATAGTTCAATAAATAGGTAATTAAATGCAAAATTAATTAAATTCTCGCAAATTATTTCAATGTTTGGTTTCCATGATATAATTAATAATGTGATCTCTCTCTCTCTCTCTCTCTCTCTCATACTGTATTCACTACACAATTGGTTAATCTATGCAAATATAGTATAAACAGGCAAATGGTAAGTGCAAAACATGTTTATTAATTATATTTCGTGTCTTATCCGACGATTATATTTATTAATCAATTGGACAATAGATTGGTTTGAATATTGAAAATACAACGAGTAAAGAGTCGATCAGAATAGCCCTCCTGTCCCCTCTCACTCCCACTGCCCGACACAACAATGTGTTGGCAATGTATATAAAGAGAGGATCATTACATAAAAATGCTTTTTATTAAAATTACTGCTAATTACACACAAAATTAATTGCATTAGAAATTAATGAAAATTCAACACAAAAACACAACAAACACTGTATATAAAGTATATAAAGAATACAGTAGAGTGCGAATGAATACACAATTATTACTCTAATTATTAGTGAAATTACTTTATTATAATAAAAGTTCATTAAATTTAAGGCAAAGAATTTCCATTCAAACAAAATTATTATTATTATTATTCTCTCTCTCTCTCCTCATTTCTCCGTATATTTTAAGTGCACTCAAAAATTCCTGAGACTTATATACGATATGAAGACTATATTTGATGTGTTTTTGTGTGGAC